TCAAAGGATCGCTACCGATGTCAAGTAAGCCAATCTGGCTAACCGTTCAGGTGTAACAATCTTCCGGTGCCCAGCTGCAACGCTTCCTTGAAGAATCATGAGGATCAGTGGGTAAGTTCACACCTTAACCCCTGGGCTATCTCGAGCTACCAATGTTATGGTTAAGGTATGTTTTGTAGATGCATGATCGTCATGCAAGTCCGTCAATCCAGATTCATAATCTAAAGCCTATTAGTCTCCTTCCGGATATTGTCGGAACTTAAGTCCTTTATCGCCTGGAGGGTAGTGTCTGTGAGAAAGTGGACGTGGATGGAAAGGGGAAGCAACAGTGCCGAACTTCAACAGTTCCGGAAAAAAATCTGGATAGTTCATTTCAAACCATAGCTTGGGGGACGGGATGGCCCAAGTGGTTACAGCGTGAATTTACTGACCGGAAAGTTCGTGGTTCGAACCCGACCTCTAACTCTCGACTTCCCCTGCCTAGGCTTGGGCAGTATCCCAGCCCTCGTGCAACCTCCGGGTAGCATAGCAGTTAGGCATCGAAAGGGTGCTACAGGTGGACGATAACTTAGTCAAAGCAAGACACAGCAACTCGCCACTGTCCTTGAATGACGCTGCTAAAAGCTCATCCGGCTGTGGCTGGATGGTATTTTAGGATGGGAAGTTATGACATAACTTCAGATACTGGAGGAGGTATGAAGCCACAGCTCTCGCTGGGGTTGAAAATTTACAAGAACAACTCAGTCGGTTGGCACAAAAGTTCGTAAATTGAAGGCTTTCTTGAAAACGGGCAAGGAAGTCTGGAAAAAAGATGAGAAAAGAAGAACAAGCGGTGGTGCGGTGCCATAAAAGATTGTTCAGTAATGGAGTGGTGGATTAGGAGATACTGCAAAGTGAAAGCACCAGCATCAGTTACCCTGCCTGTCTATGCAGCAATTAAGACGACCCGGATAGTGTTACCACACAACGGCCGGTGTTACATAAGATAACTTGTATACGTTGAGGACGTGATTGCTTCTGGGATGAGATATCGTTGGGGTGCCAGAAACGTACACCGATGGGCTATTGAGGCTCTCAAGTAGGTCCTGCTTCAGAAACCCAACCGTAAAGCAGCAGTGGTCAGCCTGTTGCTGCCGATTCGCGCTTCGACCACTGAGCCCCCTTGAGCTCCAGCAACGGATAACGGGGCTATATTCGTGACTGTTAATCTTTCAGACCACTCTCATTGACACAAACCATGCTCTCGTTCGGTGTCAACTTTTGACAAGCTTCTTCGGGAAGACCTAATAAACGAACTACTCTGTTAGCCATTCAGATTGCCAGAATGAGTCTGGAGATGTAGGTACTTCGGAATGATTGTAGAAAGTTGACAGTGAATCGCTACCCTGTCAATCCTTATTCTTTTCTTCACAATAAGGCTTTCAAACGAATCATGGTTGTATGGCAGCGACGCATCAGTGATGGACACTGATGTCGTGCTGTCCACGATGATGAGGATGACTTTTAGACACTTACGGATTAAAGTCTTCTATAACTGACCTACACAATGCCTTAAGAGCCACATCCTAGGGGAAGGTCAATCGTCAATGGGACGAGATAAGCACAACCAATCATATATCAGGCAAGAATGGCTCAGTCATTAAAGTGCGACTTTGTTGACCGGAAGGTCCGTGGTCCCAACCCGACCTCAGCATCTCAACTGCTCTTGTCTTGGCTTGGGCAACGTGACATTGTCTCAGCTCTTCAGTTGGCATGGTAGCTAGACACCAAAAGTGTGCTGCAGCTGAACGATTATTATTATTTTCGGAGACATCAACATCATCAATGACAGCAACATCAGTGTTGGCACTGATGCTTCACTGCCGTATTCCTGGAGGCCCACCAAATGAGAATCACCACCACCATCATCACTGATAGCAACACCGAATAAGAACACTGATGTTCACTGTCGTACAACCATAACAATTTGTCACTAAAGTCTTACAATGTAAAGAAATAAACTGGGCAAGGATGGTGACCTAAGGATAGCCTATTACAAGCATTCAAGATGCCTACACGCCCAACACTCGGTCAGCCGCCATATCGGTCAGTGTCCCAGCCGAGCACAAGGAGGGTTACGTGGATCCACTAAGAAAGGCAGAAAGCATCAACAGCACCCAGACTTTCTAACACCGTTCACTCCATTCTGTCATGTCCAGTCGTATCCACCTCTAGGTTTCCACCACTATGAAGTATCGTGAACAACGTTCATCATAACAGCCAACCACCTTGGTTTGTAGCACCGGATGCAGTTCTTGAGTGGAGAACCTTCTATTTTACCAAACAAGAGGTTCTCGCGCATCCATTGATTCTCGCCGACTTCATTCCTAGTAATGAGACATCCGTTGTCAAATACCCGGAGGTATCTCGGATCCCCCATCCGAAGTGGTAAACATTCTCGACCGTACAACAAACGACCCGCACTTTAGTCTAATACATGTATCCCTTGAGACCCAGTGATACGCAATTGGTGCAAATTGGCCCTTGAGACCTAGTTTGTCACACTACCCTCAGTGCGTACCTTGGAGAAAAACTCAGCGCATGACTGTACATGGGATGCGAAGCGTAGGCCAAAGGACTGGACGACCTTCGTAAGCTTTTGCAGTAATACTTGTGCATCCTATTCTTTCAAAAATAGGAGATACTTGTCGTCCCCATACTCTATGTAGACAGGGTTCGCACTCAGAGAGAGTTTTAGGCTCCGTAATTCACTTCAGCACCTCATTACTGAAAAATTAAGCAAGAATTGGAGTGAACAGGCTTGTCAGACACCGTGCGTGGGAGAGGTTTTGGAGAGCTCCCCATTCGCTCCCACGGAATAAGCATTGGATTCCAGAACAGTAACTATCGCTGCTCAGTGCGAGTCGTAGTATCCCCTTAGATGCTGAGCATAATTCAGCTCAACCACACCCCACGTGTATATGGGGAAGTCCGGTGGAATGGAGGAAGCTAGTGCGGTTGGCCATGTTCGGGGTGTTTCACCTCACGTAGAAAACCGGATGAAAAAGTAGTAGTTGAAGAGCTCACCAAAGATGATGTAATTTTCAGATACGGCAAGGCCAACTAGGCCAAACATTTTCAAGTGGTTTACGTAAGTCGGTGTGTTGCCAGGGCTCCTGAGCTCAGATGGACCATCAATATCGTCAACCAAAGCTCCTCGTCAAACAAGCCGATAGAAATATCGATAAACCCGGCTAATACCATGGCATCTGTACTTTCGTAGGACAATTCGCTGTGCATGTTCCCATCCGAGATGAGAAGAAACCGTTCATTAGGGGTCCTTACACCGGGTGCCAGATTAATACAGGAAAATAGTTTGTGATCAAATGCTTCGAGCAAAATCCGGGACCCATTTTTGGCTGCCACCCTAGGTAGTTCTCCTGGCTTCGGTGAGATGCACCATCCGTAAACGTCCGTATCACGTTCAGGTACTCGGAAAGATGGTGGTTGAGAAATTAGTCTATATTACCCCAGTTATTAAAAGAATACCGCCAAGATAAACGAGGAAAGAAGGTTCCAGAAGCACGAACCACCAGAAATCAATAAAGTGATCTAATGAAATTAAAGGTGTGACAGTCTGTGGCACCAAGATATGGAATAAACTGGGCTGTGTGAGTCTACATTCGACCGTTGAAACGAAGGGGGAAAATGGGCTAAGTTAACAGAACGTGGTTGACTGAGTGGTGAACAACGATCTAACGATAAAACCCAGTCCATGGATGCTGTATGACATTTTAACGGCATGCGAGCACTGATCGGTTTACAGCTCGGTGAGCGAAAGGCCATCTTAACTGAGCCCCTATTAACGAGCAACACAGGTCCTCTGCAATCAGGGAGGTGATACTCCCAAGATAAGGACTCGCGCGAGGACTATCGACGTACTGGTGGAGACGTGATGATTACTTGTATCACGGCTGGTTGGAGTGTCTGGAAAGAGTACGTAGAGTTGATCGGAACTAACTCTTAACCAATTTTTACGCCAACTTCAGCTAGTTTTGAAGCCTGATGGGCAGATAGGAATAAATTACCCTGTTTTATGACGACCGAAATTCCCGAACAAGGGTGGCTATCTTTCAGTCTGATATAGCTCCAGGAAACCCAAGCTTCATCACTCAGCCAAGTACTCAGGACTTATCACCTCAAGCCTCATATGCGCCTTTCTGTCATGAGTATGGCATTTTAAATGGAAAATACACGGAATGAAACCGTATTTGTAAACAAAGCTAAGGGCCAAGCTAAACCACCTTTGGGTGCTCACTCCTCCGATAGAAGCTGTGGAAGCGGAATCCTGTCCTCTTTTTTCAGATGAGCCCAAGTCTGATGAACACTAACAGCAAAACTGGTTGGGAAAGCCTGGGTAAATGACTCGACCCCGTTTGCTAGTCTCTAAATCAATGGCATCCCAAGGGTTAACCGGCGAACCTGTCGTCACACGATTTCAGACAATGGATCTGAACCGTTCCTCATTTTGTTGTCACCTTGCAATTAATAACTTCCATCATCCGGGGGTTGCGTGTGACGATTTTCCGTCCCATCGCCGCTCTAGCGGGTGTAGATACGAGGTGTGTCACGGTATCCAACTAGATCAAATGCACCAATGACAGATTCCAACCTAACGTCGCGCAACTCAGCTACCGGTGTGCACACGGTGATCCGTCGATCCACCGAACACCAGGCTTCGAGTCAGTTTAGATGACGTGTGTCGGTGACAAATAGCTGGGATGACGACACCACAGCTGTTTCGCTACTGAAAAGATAGCAGATTGGCTCTACGACGTCCAAACGCCAAGGTTCATAGCCCAGGGTCTTGTTTCGTACGGATCTTACTCGCGCCACGACAACCAGCAACGTTCACATACCATAGATCTGTAGGACCATGTTGTTTCCCAGGCTACACCATGAGAAATCACGAAATAAACGATGGCTCATCACATGTGGCACGATAAAGCGTCAATGCTTACCAAAGTCAGCTATTTTGACGTTGTGGTTCGAATCCAACAGTAAATTTTCAGGTTTAAGATCACGATGAACAACTTTGTGCCTGTGGCAGTAGGCAACACCAGAGATGATCTGCTGGAAGAATTTCCGTGCCTCTTTCTCTGACAGTTTTCCCGATTTCACGATGAAATCAAACAGTTCACCCCCGCTAACAAATTCCATTATCATAAAAATATCCGTCGGTGTACTTATGACTTGGTACAGTTTGATAATATGGGGATGCCGAAACAGCCATAAATTGAGAATTTCCCGGCGTAGTTTCCCCGCAACATCCAGTGCCTTGATTTTGTCGCGATTGACAATTTTCACAGCAACTTGCACGCCGGTGGATTTGTGTATTCCAACTTTAACTTTTCCAAAGGTTCCTACTCCCAATGTTTCTCCGATTATGTAGTTGCCGATGCGAACCTCGGGAGCACATTTTGCAGAACGCCTCCCGTCAGTCATTTTTTGGAAAAACCCGGGCTTTTCGGTGCTCACTAAAACAATAGGATCAACTGATATACACGGATTCACGGATTGATAGACGGGGTGGAAAATTTCGCCCAAGTTTCCCAAGTCAGTTTTATTCCTGTCGTTCAGCGGCTGCCGTTAACCTGGAGGACATGCGAAAAAAGGGTGCGGCACTGCTACTTCAGTTCTCAGCACAGGGCAATAAACTTTCCAGGGCGAGGGTTCGCATAAAATACCGTCTGACAGTGCTTCGAAATTGGTATCAGATGTGGCGTGGCCAACCCCAGGAGGAAAAGTTATTCCACACAGCGACCACTTGAAATGAGAAAAGTTTGGCTAATTAAGGTGCTCGCTCTGAGGTTGAAAATCTTACCATAACCCCGGCGTGTCTTAGCTAGGTCAGCGTGTAAAACCTGTTGGCCAAACCTCGTTTAAACAGTGCATAAGTAAGTATTTGGTCTCCTCAGATCCGGTGATGCTCCCGAGGAAAGAGGTCAAGCACCACGAGACGCGTTTCTCAGTCCACGTATTTAAGGTCGGCGACCATTTTCGCAGCAGCTCGCTAGGCGCGCTCATAGAGGGTTACGTCCTTCTTGCGTCCTGAGTGGACAACTTGGTTGACATAATCAAGAAGTAATTTGACGTAGGCCCGGTAGAGTACTTGAAAGTTCTTACGGGTAATACGGGAGAAGGTGAACCGAACGGTGGGTGCCTTCTGAGGCGATTTCACATGGTGCAGTGAGAAGGGCGTTTGGAGAGAACCATATACCCTAATAGTTTTGGTATTTACCCTCGTGTTGTCTTCTGGTTCATTCCCACCATGCACGACAAAAGCGTTCTCTGAATTCCATCTGAATGACTTATGGACATAATTTTCCTCATTCAGAGGAAGGTGCCAGTCCAACGACCATTGCATTGCAGCTTCTACGTCCATGGCATTCAAACTCTGGGACTTCAGTTGTCTGGAAGAAGTAGACATGGAGTTTAAAGCATGTCTGAACCGTCGCTGACGTAGATCAGAAACGGAAGTGGTCCCAAAACTGAGCCTTGAAGAAATCCAATTGAGACAGGCGCCGGAGAGGTGTGGCTGGAGTCAACTTTCACTCGAAATTTTTCCGTCTAATAGGAACGCCTTAATCGATAGAAGGATGCCAGGAGATCGCAGAGTGTGACAGGTGAGAGTTCTACACTACTCACGCTCCCACAGTTTTAGGCTGGTACACGGGACAAAAAGCAATAGATATGGTAAGCACAAAAGGTTCACATGTTAACTGAAAGGCTTGTAAACTCAAGCTCTGATGCCTAGTTTCGGATCAGGTCGTCATGGTGTATCGTACGGTGGCTTCACCATCTACAGCAAGTTTCGGGAAAGAAATAGATCGAAAGGTGCGCGAGCATACGTGTGACTGCGTGCCATTTAGGCGGTGAGCACAACTTCATGTGCATAAATAGTAAAAATAGTTATGAATGCCAAAAGATATAACCGTAAAATCACTCATTGTTTTACAGAATAACTTGAGATGGGTAACGAAACCAACCGGAGAAGCCGAACACTGATTGGGGGGTTTGTCCATTTCTCATTTCAGACCATGACGTGAGGCACTGGGGCCTGACCGGCGGAAACAATTCAATTTCCACGTAGTTGGTGGATCCCAGACGTATTTTCGAGGTGGAATTGGTGAACAATTTAGAGCCAAAGTGACCAAAACACAAAGTAGAGACTTATCCCAACCTCAGTCGGACCCAAACCTTGAAAACTTAGTGAACGCTTCCCTAAAAACTTTAACATTGCAAACGTTTTGTTCCCCAGTATCCTCCACTCTCTGGACACCTTCCCCCAGGTTAATCGCGTTGATATTGTAATCTCCTGCAGATATGAGTAGAGTTTCTGCGGAAGCGAGTTAGAAAATGAAATAAAAAAGAAGGGACTGCGAAAGATATTGGAGCAATGAGTATAGGAAAATGAGTGCAGATGCTGTTGTATTGAATCCTCTGACTACAAATAGCCGATTGAGGCGACCAACAGGATGGCAGAAATTCCAGTACAAAAACAGGCCAAGCAGGCTATCAGAAATTCATGGGTATCCCCAGACCTTAGTTTGGCAGAAAGCGCGACATAGTACAGTAGTTCATGAATGATTTGCTGGTTTGTGGCTTGAATTGCCTCTGCTGACGTAGTGCTTTATAAAAACTGAACATAGATATGATTAATTGTGACCTAGCACTTGGACTGACATGCCAAACGCCAAACCTGAATCGCTCAACGAATCTCAGGCTCATAGAGGAACGTTTGTCTCGGCGTTTCAACGAGGTTGGGCGGAACCTGTAGATGATGGACTGCATTCAGTTTAAGGGCCGGAACTTGGGCTTCCTTCATAGGTGTGTCCCCATCACCTAGAATTGTTATGGCATTATCGGCGACCCTGGAAGACAAGCTAAGCAATCAAACATAATAGGCTGGGGGCCGCTACATATGTCGACTAACACCAATATCGCGGCCGTAAAATCGAATGTGATTAGCCTTCACTGTGCATAGAGTTGTACTTCTTCAAATTGGGAGGTGTTTGCAACCCCCTCGTTTCAAGAAGCCGGATGGACTAAAGGTTTCCATTTATACCTAAGCTGCCTGGAACATTACAAAAAAGCCTACGAATTCCTCGCCCATTAATGTTTCGATGTCTTGAGATGTAACCAGCGACAACACTCGGCGGATGGTTGATAGGGCAGTGGAAGGTGCCATTGTCAACTCAGCGGTTGTCATAGGTCTTTGAAACTACATGAGGTCCGTTGCGGTTCAGTTGGCTGGACGAAAAGGCCCTGTTTCCGTTCATTCTCAGTCGCACAACGTTTCTCCTAACACCCTGCTGCCAGATTACCAAGCGAATTAGCTCAGTTTAGGTGAAGCCATGCACACGAATGTGTTATCGGTGAAGGGCCTTGTGGTTAAGGATACCATGATCGTCAGCTTTGATACAGTCTTCGCTTGAAGACCGAGTTGTCGCTGGCGACAACCCTGCCCAAATTATCAGGTCACTTCCCATCTCCGAGAATTCAATCTCGGATGATCCGTCGCTAAGAGAACCGGTGCACCTTCCGAATGTCCGTCTCACATAAATTTATGAAAAGTTAGTCACTATTTTGATGGTAATTGATGTTCCAGATGACTTCCATGTTATCGATCAAGATGTCACTCTCTGGAAAAGCCCTGAACCTATCTAACGGCCTAAGGATGGGCTATTTTTTCACTCTTTAAAACCAGAGTGAACACCAGTCAACTGCATTAACAAGCATTCTAGTGCCAGGATCCAATATTGAGGCCGCTTGAATCTGATTTCAAAGAAAATGTTGGTTAAATATGGTACCTAATAAAGCCTCGGATCAGAATACTGAGATGATGAGATCGGTGGAGCTGCAACATATTTCCGCTGACGTCCAGCTCTCATACCCAAAGACTAAAGGACTCCCGGTGCAAATGCCAAAAACGCAACAACCCTTAACTCCGAAGGACCTCAGGGACATATGCCGATCCCAAATCCAATTTGGAATCTTCCACGGTAGAAGACTGCATTGGACGAACTTGCCTCCTTATGAGACTACTGGAGCAGATAAATCTGCTTGTAGCGGCGAAAACATCGTCAGCCATACAAAAAGTTTCGTATTTAATCAGAGGGCTGTCTGTCAGCGTTAAGACCAAACACGTTCTCTCGGATGAGCCGGCAGACGTCATTACACTTCTTGGAACAGGGATGAGCGGAGAATCCGGTACAACGGTCAGTCCCAAAGTTTTGCTATGGTAACGTTATTTTCGAACTTTCCTCAGCAAGTTTTGTACAAGCCACTGGACGAACGCTTTACGGTCAGCATTTTAATTCCGTGTCTTGCATTTACTGCGTTACAAAACGTGAAAGCAGCACAAGCTATGGTCTTTCTGGCATCCGATTGGCACACAAAAGCTAACGCCTTCGAACATTTGAATATTCCAAGCTCTTGTACTCAAGGCGTTTGGGATGCCCTTGATGGTCATATGTCGCCATTCCCCCCTAAGGCCACTGGGCCAAAACGCACACTTAACATTGTTCCGAATTTCTGGACGAAAATATTCTCAAAACCCAACAGAAGGGCCTAATCAACTGTAGAAAAACGCCATACAATTGACTGTTCCTGGTGGTATCGGGGGAAGCGTGCGTGCGTCTGTCTTTTCCGGGGGCATCAAAAATTAGTTTGAACCGGAGAAATGACGATGTCTTCGATGGACCTACAGTTGTTGAATTTCCATCTCCAGATTTTTCCCAATAAACCTTCAAGAGTTGTATGATGCCAAGACCTAGCAACTCTTCATAGTATCATCCTTTAAAGACATTCAAGTGGGAAATATTTTAGTGCCAAAATAACAACCTAAAGTGAATCAACCAACGCCCAAATTTTCTGAAAATTCTGAGCTCATCCAGAGAGCCGGCAGTCATTCCGAAAGGGAGGGTGTCAGATTGGAAGGATGAATCCTATTTCCCTCGAAGTTTAGAAAAGTGAAACTTGAGGGTGCTGTGAAGCATGGAGCGTTCACTAGTGACGACGATGGGGTGAATTTGGGGACGATGGTGCAGATTTGGTTTGCGATGAGGATGGAGATTGCGATGTCGTAGTTTAGATCGCCGGGTTTGATATGAGACGGTGGAGGGCGTCATTTGTGTGACATGCCTGTGATAGAGCTGCAGGAAAAATAACTTCCCTTCGTCCGAAAAAGATAGATTTGGAACCCAGCAGTGGGGATTTTGTGGTTTTCACTGGAAGTGGATCGGAGCGTTTCTTCTGAGGTGGGCAGAGTTTTCAGTGGCCGAGGTCGTGGTTGTCCCAATCTGAGGGGACGCAATAGTGGCTTTGGACATCGTAGCGGTGGCCAAACGCTGAATTGAAGTGTTGCTACTAATAATAATCATGTTTATTCCCAGCATGTGGTGGCATGCCGTCTGGCATGATCATATGTTCACCGTCCGAATGAAGCATGGCTGGGTGGTTTGTGCGGGTGCGGGTTACGCGAAAAGAGGACAAAGTCATAAACAGTGAGGAATATCCGATGAAATAGTAAAAATAGGT